AAAGGTTAAATAATGATGGGGCATTATAAGTGATAAAAGTAATGTAGAATATTTGGTTAATGTCGATCATTTTTAACATGTAGGCTAAAAGTACGTCGATTTATTTTGGATGGAAATGTTTTTACTTTTAGAATTCAAGTGAAATATTAATACGCCAAGGGGAGGAGGATCCACCACAGAGATGGTGGAGGAAGCAACTCGTGTGCTGCGTCGATAGATTGTTGCATCGCGAAACCACGACAGAAACAGCGAAGGCTTGGCGAGGCCTTCAACCAGCAGTGGATAGATCATGACCCTTTTGTCCATTCACTGCTGAATTAAGGCCTCCACACGCAATGTCAATCATGGGGGGGGGGGGTCCCAGGACCGGTTGAGATGTCACGAACCACTGATGTTAGCTCCGGACGACAGTTGCACTCGTGTTGCCGGATTCGTAGTGTGCTGTGCTCTGGCCCGAATTAAATAATGTTTCAATATACGAAAACAACAATTTCCAGAAAATTGTTAAGAGTCTATCGTTAATGAGCCTGCAGAGCCTGACAAACACTGCTAAACAACCCCCCCCCCCCCCCCCCCCAATATTCCCAAACAAAATTTCTACGCAGCACTCTTTGTGTGGGCTTTAATTAATCAAATAAACTAATGAAATGTATTCAACCGTAAAATGGCGATGCTTCTCGGCACAATATATAAAACTTTTTTTAAACATATTACAGCGTGCGCCAATTTGGGCTCCCTCTCCTTTAGACACGTGTCCTTGGAGCAAAATCTGGGTGGCTGCTGTCAGTAAATTGGTTCATACCAGGGACTGCAGCGATCACGTGGGATGTCACCGTACCGGACTCCGAGTGGGCCGCGTGCAGAGACGCAAAGGTGGTCGTATCAGCTGAGAGATGGAGCCGCAATTGAAAGAGACGAATAAAATGTGGTTCAAGGTTGTAAAGGTGGGACTGGGATTTGTTGTTGTTGTTACTTACTACACGACAGGCTTCTCACTGTTCTTCAAGGTGACGCGAGAAACATGTTGTTGAAGCGGCGAGAAAATGGAACAGGCCCTCTTTATAGATGCAAACACTCCAGGAAAACGGCCGAGGCAAAAACAAACACAAAACGGATGAGGGGACGTTATAGGCCAACTCAATAATATTCATGAAAGGATGCCAGCTAAACGGAACATTTACATTTTGGAGGGAATCCACGCTGTTGGGAAAAAAAACGAATTCGACGTCTGTGCAGTACTTCCCAGCAAGAGAAATACACAGTGATCCACTTATAGACACCCTACTCATGATATTTGTAGAAATTAAACAGAAAAAATAACCACATTTTATTTAAAACCCTCCACGTCTGCCACAAATCTCAATTCCCTTATTACATATCTTAACACTCGTCTGTGTAAATCTTTCAAATATTCAGTCACCTATTGTGAAGAGGGCCATAAAGCAATGAGGTGTCTATAAACGGATCATCAAGCACATCAACAATATACCCACAATCATAAATACATTTATAGAGCGCTTCTCATCAAGGATCTCAAAGCACTGTACATGACAAAGCAGCAGCAGACACTCAGCATACAAATGATATTATAAACACATTTTAAGAATCATTTACGAAATTAACTAAACGTTTAATAAACAGAAACGTATAAATAGGTTTTACGGCGCATTTTTTAAATGTCCACAGACTCAAAGATTCTGATATCTCGTGGAAGACCGTTCCATAGCCTGGGGGCTACACGGTTAAAAGCTCGGTCACCCATGGTGTTCAAATTCCTCGTCTCTTTCATTCACAAAACGTTTTGTGAACCACAGCTTGCACGCGGTTCGACGGGCTATCGAGCGTGCCGGTAGTTCCGATTCATTCTTGGCAATGGAAATATTATCAGGGACCGAAATCCCGATGTCTGCTCGACCAGGACGAGACGGCTTCAGGAGAGACTTCGTGAAGTTATTTTTCTTTCTCTGTTTGCTCCGTTGAAGGAGCGCAGACTAACATCGGTCCACTACACGGCCCATCGTTTGGGTTTCATGGCCTACGGCCACACTGCTGTGGCTCGCCTGTAACTCTCCGCTTTAGGAAGGAGACGATGTTCTGTCGACGTTCTGATGCGCCTCCCGGTTCCACCGGTGCCTTCGAAGAATGCAGGGACAAGAAGTGCACAGCGAGCACGCGGGCCGAAGGGCAAAGAACGGGGTCGTGATGTTGAATGTTGAACGGGAGTGGGGGACAGTGCCGGGTTATCCTCGTAGCACAAGTAGCGACACATGACGCTACGGGCCCCGCACTTTCAAGGGCCCCGCACTCAACGCTTTCAAGCCATCAATGCCGTTTCAGTAGATTCTGCACTTGCTCTATTACTATAGCACTATACTGCTTTCAACTTGTACGAACGAGTGCGTGTTTAAGGTTAGCGATTTGTCGTACTATCTGGCTGTATAGTAAATGCAAAAATACAATTACTTTACTATGCTAGTAAAAAAAAATTGCGTTTTTAATATTACAATTTGGGCCCCTTTACAACATGTACTACAGGCCCTGCACTAGCTTAATCCGGCACTGGGTGGGGGGAGGTGGGGGGGGGGTCACAATTCATCGCTTAACCCAGGGCCCTTGTCGACCTCGCTACTTCCCACTGGTCGCTCGCGTGGGCTCGGTAAGCGATGCAGCACGCAAGAGCGCACGCAGCTCCTCGTGACCCGGCGTGAACACGAATGGTCGCGTGGTGCCTTGTGAGGGGCGTACGCCGGGCGCAGCTTTTGCGGAATTCCTTCGCCGTTTTTTTAATCCCCCACCCCCAAACAAAAGCGGGCGACAAACTGTAACATTCAAATGGTTCACGTAGTGCGGCAGGAAGGAACCCCGTTATTTTTTTTAATTTTTGTCGAGGAAGTATCACGATGCCCCCCGACTGAGATTTTTCGACGACTTCCCTAATTCCACGGGGCGTCTCGCTGTCAACGCCAGCTGACGAAAGTTTGCAGGCTCGAGAACTGCTATTGTGCTTCCGAAACACCCTCCCCCCCCGACCCCACAATAACTATCGGCTTTCTGCGTGCGGGGAGACATTTCTCAGAAGCGGCAGCCGATGTTATTAAAAACAGCACGTGCCGTTTTTGGAAGAAAAAAAAACACAAAACACTCTATCCCGGCCCAAATGAGGTGTCAAATAAATCACCCTTTTGAACAGCGTAGAAGCATTTTAACAGAGACACTAAGACTACAATCAAATTTGCCTTTTTTTCTTATTCTTCCTGATGCTGTGTTGACATTAATATGATGTGTGCAAGTCCTTGCCCTCATTTGCAATGCAAAAGCTGCGAATTCGGAGTGCCGTGCTGACACATTAGCTCTCTTCGCGCGACAAGGTAAAATGTTTGACCTCGATAACGTCTCACTTCACAAAACGTGTCCTTACAGATTCACCTTCTAGTTTGGGCACGCGTTCTCAATAGCCCGCGCAGCAACCGTGGACGCTGTCTTTGCGTGTGAGCTATTATTTCAGTTGAAGGGACATTTCATCTCACAGCGATAGCAATCTGTATGGCTCTCGTGCAGGCAGGGGGAAACTATGAACGCCGAACGATTATAAATTCCCCCTTTTTTCAGCCTGGATGCAATTGGCCTGGCCAGTGTGGTCATGTACATTCGCAGCCCTTTTGTCAATCCACTGCTGGATGAGGGCCTACTCATGGCGTAGGGATTATTTGACAATTCGGCACTCTGCGTAATACGAGTTGGTGACGTTTGGGGATATAGATGCGGCTGCATAGAATGTACAGTACAACAGAGGAGGTTGCTTTGCTGCCCACTATGTAGCCTGCAGCAGCCTAGAGTAAACTTCGCTGTACTGTGGTAACTCATCCAAGTGATATCCAGGCTCAACCCTTGCTGCCCTGAAACGGTATACAACTCCAGATCCTGTATTTGTGTGTGGGCTTTTTTATCAATTGAAGGATGTTTCAGTTCACAGCGATGACACACACTGCATCGTTTCCCGCAGGTTTTTGTTTAAACTGCTGGAAACTCAAAACATGTTCAGCTGAATGATATTAAAGTTTAAAACGGAGTGCTTGCAGGCATCGATAACATGTCACGTGTGCTGAAAAGGCAGAGATGAACTTGCGAGAAATGGAAAGCTGACACAGTATTGTTGGCAACTGCTCCAAGCAAATTCTTGTTAACAGTGAGTGGGTCTCATTTGATCTCAATGTCACGGTCACAAGTGTACGACTGCCTTGCATAAGGGTCATTTACCTGTGACCTCCCAGTGGAACTCGTCCACAATCCAGGATGGAGAGGTAACGACTGCATAGGTACGCATGCCTGTGCTGCATAGATCCCTCGATGTGTGTCTGGGAGGTGACGCATGCCGTTTGTCATGCATTCCGCTTCGCATCCCGGGGGATAGCTTCTGTCCGGAATGAATTCCCTAAAATGCCCTCCTAGCGCGTGTCGTGAAACACTGCTCATCGTGCTTAACGACACATGGTACAATCCAATAGCACATCGAAGGCAGGTAGCGAGTTTGTCAGAGAACCACTCGCATTGATGCCACACGTAAACTTTGCTTCCTTCCTCCTGTCAGACACCACAACTGTTGGCACGGTTGACAGCCGATCTCCAAGGTCTTCACTTACAGATGGTTCCACCACCATCTCGACTTACATCTTCCTCTTGGTTGGCGAGCCCCGACTCCAAAGCCCATCCAGGTTGGTGCCGATCATTTCAAAGGCGGGTTTGCAAACAATTAAGTTGTGAAATCAGTTAAAGATTGGTGTGGGGGGGGGGGACACGCGCCAAAGGAGACGTGCACCTGTCGTGGCTTTAGAGAGCAGTGCATCACGTTGTTAGCAGCGACGATCGACCTCGGAATCACCCCCCACCCCCCCAAGCATGATGCAAGGCCCGGATTTGTAAACCTCGACGCGTTGGCAGACGCTTCACTGCCACAGTTCTGAGCAAAGCGCCCAAAAAAATGCTAGCGTTTTACAAGACTCTGTCGATCTCCTTTGTATTTATTAAAAAAAAACTTTACAGTCCACAGCTGCCTGGTTGTGCACACAGTGTCAGGCGGGGTAAAACGAGGTGGAAGATGCAATCTCTGAGGCCCTCCGGGTTTATTTTGTTCCACTCTTCAGGCATTGAAAATGGACATGCGGGCGCAGGAATCGTGCATTAGCTGTACACATTGAAACGCTGCTAGGTTATAGCTCTGTCATTGACCTGTTTTTTTTGTATGATTTGCTATTAGGGTTATTGTGCAAATGAAATACCTTGCGTTCTGTTACGGGCTTCCTTTAAACTACACTTATTGTGAAGTGACGGGTCGCTGCCATTGTGGCGGAAATCAGTAATGACGCGATCGCTTCTCGTGATGCATTGTGGACCTAAAAGCTGGAGGACAAAAAAAAGCCCCTTTCCTTTCAATTCGCCCGAGATCACAGTGCATTAAGATTACAATTGGTGAAATTTAGGGTCGCATTCCACAGACATTTCCCCACAAGCACAATCCAAACCATTTTTTTTATTTGCAGATTTTGATAAAACTCCATTTTATTAGAAATAAACTTTATGTCTGTATAAAAAAAAAAATTGCATGCGTCCTTCTAGTATATCTTTTCCGAAATTCATTCTCCAAGTTACAGAACACGAGAGATATACCGAGTCATTTAGCCCATTAGAACACACCAGACTGGACTTTGTTGCAACATTCACAGATAGGGCAGATGTTATGCATTTTTTCTTATTTTTAATTATTTTTTTAACCCCCCCCCCCCCTCTCCTGCACTGCCCCCTTCTTAATTTCAGGGAACCACAACAATTGATCCCCTCCCCCCCCCCCCAATGTTAGGCTGATAAATGGAACGACTTGACATCAACACAATGAGCAAAACGAGAGAAAGAGAGAGTAGGGGGGGGGGGAGAACAAGAGATATAAGAGAAGGCAATGCAAACATTTAAGAGCAGCCTCTTGATTCCGTTTCGACATTTGCCGGTGCTGCGTTTGTATCCATCGCGCACACAAACACACACACACACACGAGCGCGCGCGTGGATTAACCAAAGCGATGCTTTCGTGCGATTCCTTAATTTTTATGATGTCGTTGTGGTTGCTGTTATTTCATCACTCCTTTATTTATTTCGCTTTTCCAAAATCTCCTTTGGAAATCTCATTTCATCCCCCACACAGCCCCCCCCCCCCCCACCTCCCCCACTTTTTTATTTTACAAATCCGCCCGCGCCGCCGTCGGCGAGCGAGACGCTCCGTGCCGGCGGCGCTGGTAAGCGCTGTCGCTGCTTTGTGCTGTGCTGCGACACTTACAAAAAATGCCTCTCCGAAAGAAAGGGGCAACCCCACGCCTCCGCACCACCGAAGCCCTCTAATTAGAGAGACGATTCACGGCCATCATGCACCACCTCCCATCCCTGCCCACACCCGTCCCGTTCATCCAATGCCCTCTTCTTCGCCACCACCACCACCACCACCAGCAAACTCTTCCTGCTAAGGGCACCTCCGCCACCTCCACCCCTCCCTCTGTCCCAGCTTCCCGGCGTCTCCTCGCGTTCCGTGCACCAGCGCGGCGGTCTTGAATGCTCTCCTCGCCACGCCGTGATTGCTGGATAGTCTCATCTGCGAGCCCAGACTCTCGCGCGGCATCCCGATTTAGCAGTCTGCTGATACGGCAGCTTTTCCCGTAATACCCTGCCCGGCGTGGTGGTGGTGGTGGTGGTGGGGAGGGTAGCGGTGCCAGCGGTCCCGGGAGCCTTTTACATGAGATGGTTGCTGTAGCTGATGTATGTTGTTTTTGTGCAAGAAGCTGCTGCATTCCGAGGGGAGGCAGGGACGTAGGGGGCAGGGCAAACAAAAAAACGAAAAGAGAGATCTGCTATAAAAGGGACTATAGGAAGTAATTTAGAGATAAATGTCATTGCCGGGTTTGTTTCCTGCATTATGTTTTCTCTCCAAATTGTTCCAGGTTTTTTTTTACGTTTAGTCCGTGATGCTTGTTTCATTTTAAAAGGAATGCGTTAATGTCAATTTTGTGTGTGTGTGTGTGTGTTAGACACGTGTTATCATCGTAGGTTTGAATTAACACCAGATTGACTTCTCCTGTTAGCACAAAGCTTCCGTCCTGTAAATACAAAGCGGGCTCGATTCAGATATTAACTTTGAACACAAAATTGACAATCTGGAATGTTCCGCGTTTTGTTTCGCCAAAGGCGTAATGAGGCACACGTTACTTTCTAAACGTAGCACGAGGAGTAGAAGTGCAATTCAACTGGCCGTTATATTTTTTTTTGGTCAGCTCGCTTTCCTATCGCGTTAAAAAGAAAGTGTACAGAATGCAAAGCACAAACGAATAAAAACACGCACGCACGCACACACACACACACGCGCGCACATTACACATGGGGTAGCTAACACTAATTGTAAGTCTTGACTTAAAGCTTTCGTGACTGCAGGAATTCATATTCTTTGGGTCTTTCGGTAAAGCCACGTAGATATAAAAAAAATTATATCTACGTGGCTTTACCGAAAGACCCAAAGAATACTAATTGTAAGCTTGAGCTGTATAAACAAACCACTTAGACATAGCAACGCACACGCTCTCTCTCATAAATAGGTGACAACCACGGAGACTCTTCCCAAAATTAGGCGCCGGTCGTAAACACGGCGACAGTCGTTAACGTTGCTTTTCGAACTCCCTGTATTTCAACTCGGAGGAGGCCATTTAGCGTGAGGTGGCAGCAGATGCACAAATCATCGCTGGCCTACTTTCCTGGACGTTGCGAGCACAATGCCGGCTCGATCAGCATCGCCGGTTTTTTTCTCTTGGCGTGTGTGCGTGGATTCCCCCTCCCCACCCCACGGAACAACGAGGCTTTGTCTCCAAAGGTTGTCCGCAGCCCGGCAGAGAGCTTCCATACAATCTGGAGCCGGATTGCTCACGACAGCCTGACCCAGCGCGCCGCGACTGAGCAAAAGTCGGCTCCTCGTTTGCGGAGAGGCTGCCATTGCGTATCAGTTGCTTGGCAGGGCTGTGTGCGAGCACAACGAGCCACCGTTTAGGACCCCAAGGGGATCAACCGGGCCACTCATTAACCAAATAGCAACGCGCAAAAACATATTGGCTTAAACTTAGGCGCTTGTAAGAATATAAACTAAACGTAATTGTTCTAAATTAACAATAAGAAATCGGTTTAATTGGCCCGTTACCTCTAATTATTTCAGACAACTTACATGAATTAATCCTGATTCTTATCCAGAATATAATGTCTGTAGTCACGTGACAGACCACCCACAACTCATCTCTGCTTAGAGACTCCCATGGGCTGGCACCAGCACTGAGTTCGTGTCTAAGCTGGGTGGGAAGTGCGTGTGTATCGCTATCACAGGTTACGAGTTAAAATCCTGGCCACAGGGTGACACAACCCGTCATCTTTGTAGGAAGTCAACTGCGGTTAATAATAATAATTGTACAATAATTGAAATCGCATCTTAATACTAGCAGCATCTTCAAGATGCTGTAATGGAACAGCGAAATGTCCTGTCCGGCTTTTAGCAATATTCGTCCCCCATCGCATAAATAATAAATGCCTTATCCGGGGAAAGCCCTGACGGAGTCTCAAGATTATTTTTCAGGAGGGTTCTGCTAGTGGGAATTCTTGGCACACTCCACGAGTGAGCGTTTGACTTATGGAATACCTACGAAGTGGCCCCAGGTTGTAAAAAGGAGACGACCATTTCCCCGCGCTTGTTTTAGTGGGATACCACTTTCACTTTAGTTAATGGATAAATGATTCATGCGCGAATGCATGCAACGGCTCATTCATTCATTCAATTTGAAGTCCGTCGAGGGCTGCGTGTGGGTGGCGAGTCCTCCTTTCTGGCTGCGTCTGCGTGATGACGCTCTCATCAGTCAGGCGACGAGTAACTTGGCTCACGGCCATTAATTCCCATCTCCAAGTTTTTAGACGGACGATCTCGCGTGCGATATTTGAGGTCTATGTGGGTGCGTGCGGTGAGTGGGCCCTCACAAATGTTCGACGCGGAGAAAAAAACAAATCTCTTATCTACACAGACGGTGGGAGAGTGGGCACCACGTCTGTCAGTACACGCAGAACTGGCTCATAAGCTACGCGCATGAACCGGCACCGTGTAAAGTTTTGCGTAAAGTTATTTTCATAATTTGCAAACCCTAATATATATAAAGCCAACATTATTTTCCACTGGAGCCCGTTGTCTGTCACGCAAAATTCCTTTAAATTATTTCTTCTCCCCCCCACCTCCTACAGATTTAGATAACAATAATTAAATATAACAATGCGTAGCACTTCGTCAATCCACTGCTGGATGGAGGATTTCCCATGCCATGTCGGTCGTAGGGGCCTGCTGACGTGAAGTCATTTCCGGGGTTTGAACTCAGGTTCGGAGCTCAGTGCGTGATGCACTGTGCACACCGTTGGAAAGTCGTTCAGTTGACGGACTACAGATTATCTGTTAAAGATTACCTTTATGAATGTGGAGACAGAATGGGGCTCCAGGTTAGATAACACCTTGTCACCACGGGGCGGCAAGGTGGCGAGATGTTAACTACCTCGCCTGGTATACAGGAGGTCGTGGGTTCGATCCCGACGCTGACGATAGCCTGTATATTTCGATTTTGCGTTTTCATTCTCCCCGTGGCCACGTGGAGTTTTATCCGGGTTTTCCCTCCACATTTAGATTCAACACGCATTTAAAGTATTTGGCCGCAATACATTTCCAAGCGAAAAGCCGCTCCGTTGAGCTATCACTTGCGGCGAGTTCGCTTCTAATAAAGAGCTGTGGAGCTCAGTGGTCCTTACCCGGTAAAATAGAAAAATAGCTTATAATTTTAGTTTTTAATTTACTTTTACCCATAATACCCTGCTGTGGCACGCAGTGAATGTGTTCCCACAGGAGCAGCCCGCGTTTGCCGGCGCACAGCGCAAGTTCATTCCAACTCTCGGAGCCAGTGCAACTTTGCCGTTGGGCAGAGCCACCGTGGCGTGCGTGGGTCAGGCGCGAGTCACAGGGGGGGGAGGCGACGGTGTTTTGTGCGGGCGGCACTCACAGCTGTTCTCGAGGCTTTCGCAGAGCTCCGTCTTGGCCTCTCCGTTGGGGCGGTCGTTGGTCTTCCCGCCCGTCAGCTTGTTGGACATGGTGGCGGCCGTCACCACGGCCTTGAAGGAGCGCTTGCGTTTCTGCACGTTCTGCTCCGGGTGGAAGAGGATGATGTGCACCTTGGGCATGTAGAGCATTCCCAGAGCCACCGAGGCACTCAGGCTCATGGAGACGGTGAGCGTCGTCGTCTGGATGTACACCTGCCCCCCACGGCAAAGACAACGGGCATCAAACGCGCACTGAGCAGCGGCCTCCTCGGACTGGCGGTGCCAGTCGCGCGATGGAACCCCGGGGGAGCCCCGGTGTATACCGGTTAGATCCACAGATGCACAGTGACCCGTTACGTCGCTTCAGCTCACAGATCTCTCTTGCAGGGATGTAGCCACACTGTGGAAGTTGGGGTTGTGCTACTCGGGAGTGGTTCCCAGTGGTAACTGGGTAAATTACAGAGAGGATAGGTGAAGTTCGCCCTTATTTTGTCACAGACAAGAGTAGTTACATTGCACTATGATGACATTAAATCTACGCAGCTACTGGCTACTGACTCAGTTCTGTTCGTGCACTGTCGTGTATGTAAATTTTCCCTCATTAGCATCGATCACCTTGTCGAAGGCAGAAAAACTAGGGACTCAAACATTCCAGGATTTCCCCCTCCCCCCTCTCAGAATATTGTGGGCGTCTCTCAGCCATATTTTTAACATTCTGGATTTAGTAGCCCTCTTCTTGCTCACTGAACTCTGGGTGTCGTGCTATTTCCTGTCTCCATAACCTGCTCTCCTCCATCCTGCACACGTGTCCTCACCATTTACTCGTCGCTCGCCCTTAACAATGCATATGTTATATTCTTGGTTCTTTCGGTAAAGTCACGTAGAAGGGAAACAATCAAATAATACAAATATAAAACAATAAATTCTCACGCCGTGGCAGATCACTGTTATAATTCAGTAGGATCGCATGACATTGACTTCTCCAAGACAGAGGTTCTCTGCAAGCCATCTGGCTACTATGAGAGATTCGTTCATGAGGCTATCCACATATACAAACACAGAGACAATTTCAACCGAGAAGATGGATTCTGGCTTAGCAATCATTGAAAGGATTTGATAAACCATTTCGGGTCTTAATTGATTGTTCACGCTTACGGTGGCTTTCAGACCGCATCCATTACTTTCGTCTCCCCCCTCCTCTTTTCCGAACATAGATGGACTCGTCCATCTGAAAAACTGCCAAATCGCTCTCCGTGGTGCTAATGTTAAAAAAAACCCGCCACTTTTTAAAAAAAATTATTGCCGTGGTTTTCACACCTGATGATGATTGCTTGTGTTGCAGTCGTAACGTCGTGATAATTTTTATTGTTTTATATTTTTATTATTTTATTGTTTCCCTTCTACGTGACTTTACCGAAAGAACCAAGAATATGAATCCCTGCAGTCACGGAAGCTTTAAATCAAACTTTAATGCATATTTTATTTGTATGCTCGTCTTTAATTTTAATTGGCACTCTCCTTCGTAGGGGAACATACGTGTACACGTACGTAAACACACAGGACATTTCTCGTAATTGGACTATGCACTCTCCACATCATGCGGATCAAATGTCAAGCTCGCCCATATAATCTGAATAGACTGTTGGGACAAGTGCTGTGAGCGAGTACATACGAAGGCCGGCGCGGCACACAAAGGGCTGGGTGGCCTTCGCCACGTCCGGCCGCCTTTGTCTCCCCAGTGGTGATGTTTACACACCACACCGGGTGCTAATTTGAAGCTGAGTCGACCGACGAGACGACCAGGACCGGCTCAGATAATCATCACTAATCATACAGGACACACTGCACGCACGATCTCAATCTTAATTTGAATCAGCTGCTGTTGTGTCATCACGTGGGACTTGCAATCATCAAAAGCAATAATCAAAAGCATGCATCAAGTAATGATTTAATTTTTCTTTGAGATGAGGTACATTGGTGATGTCACAAAGATACACTGTGCTAGGATGCAAGGAATGACACTCGCTTTAAATTGAACACACACACACACACCTGGTGAGAGAATGTCAATTATTAAATCAAGCGCACATCTGGACAGTCAAGTATGATTTCCGTGGAGTGCACACCTGCACAGTGTGTCACGTGATACATCTATAGATACCCAACTGACCGCTAATGCACTTCTTACTTGAGTCTTGCATTCGATTTGTTACACGGATGTATGTGTGCATGTTGAACTTCTTTCGCACCGCACGTAGTCAATCGTGATAATGAGCAGGTGGTACTGTTTTAGCCAGTTACCTGGCTATTATTTTTTATAAGGGAGATCCGTGGTACCTAAGTATAGTAGCAGCAACAAAACAAAAGATGAAACAAAAATCTATATTCAGTACAAGGTCCTTCAGGAATGTTTCACAATTAACGAACAAGGTATTTGCTTTTCAACAGGAGATTACACATTGTGAAAACGAATGGCTCCATGCTTTACAGAGAGGTAAGGGGGGTGTTCACCCTCTTCTGCTGCCCCCACCGTCTGAAATGCCCGACCGTCCCCCCAGCCATCCGTGCTGCCAACTCCCTTCCCCTGTTCAAGTCCAGGCTCAAAACTTTTCCTTTTCCTCAGCCTACGACACATTGTATCTTTTTCTATGAAGTAGCTATGCCCACAATTTATGTGCAGCGTCTTGAGATGTGGTCGCATTTAGGCGATATCATTATGATCATCAGCCATGGTCAATCCACTGCTGGGTGAAAGCCTCGCCAAGCCGACGCCTAATATATATAAATCCACCTGGCCACCTGCAACCCAAGCCGACTTCATCGCTCCATCTCCTCATCGGTGGATGCTCACGCGAAAAAAGCGTTCCCAATCCATTCTTCAGACATCATACAAAATCCAGCCTGCGTTGTGTTGTGCAGTACGTATTGTCTTGTACGAGAGGGTCGCGGCTGCACAATCGAGTTGTGGATAACCCTGCTCTGGACCACCTGGCAGTACCGAAAAGGGCCTCTGAAAATAATAAAGCTGTCAACAATCGTTGCATTAGCACGCTTGATCACCGAATGGCTCGCAGAGCGTGACCCAGTAGGATGCCCCAGCAGTGAATGAGTGAGTGCCCCAAGCGCCGCATGACCGAGGGGCTCGCGTAAAAAAAAGAATAACTACGAGCGGGCAGCTGCAGAGGTCAAGGGGTCAACTGGCATCTAAACGTGACTCAACTTTCCGCGGCCATGCGCTTTGCAAAACGCGGCGGCTTTCTCCGGCAGAGTGTTGAGCCGCTGAAAGGCACACGCGTTATTTTTTCGTGACGACCGCAAGGTAAACGCGCAGCCCTGCGGTTGCTCGCTCGCGCCACCGCTGGCGACCGCTGCATATCGGGGTGCGATTCGTGTTTTTGTATCGTCACGTTCGGCGTTGCTTGCTTGACACTCGGCAGCACGCTGCGGTGTAGCTTTAAGAGCAGGAAATGTGCTTGACTTGCCACTGTTGTTATCATCAACAGCATTGGTCAATTTGAAACTAAACTAAAACTATTTTTTTTTATTTCACCAGGTAAGGCCCACCGAGCTATGTAGCTCTTGTTGTCAGAAGCGACCTCGCCATCGCAAATGATTGCTCAACGAAGCGGCCTATCATGTGGGAAATTTATTGTAGACAAATACTCTAAACGCACGTTTATTCATTCAATGCTGGATTAAGGCCTCCCTAAGCCACCGCCAACTTTCATGCTCATGCAATGTAATGATCCATCTAGCAACTGCTCATGACATGATTTCATTTGTCTTATGAATTATTTAGAATTATAAATATAATATTACAGTTACTGAGCACAGGCCTAAAGGCCCGAAATGACCCGGCAGCCAGCATCGCACCTAATAATTGTGCGAAAAATAAAAAAAAGTTAATTTGTATTTTTTTTTATTCAGAAAGGTTATAAGAACTCTGGGGGGGACGGGGGGGGGGGGCGAAGACTGCGCTAGGGAATTATAAAGTGGAGCAGCACGAGGAGAGAATCAGTGCTGTGAGCTGCAGCACGGTGGTACAGCGGGTGACAGTTGTTGTGGCCTGCAGTGTAGGTGGTTTAAACTTCACATTTACTATTTGTATTAACCAAGTAAGTTTCCCACTGAGCTACGTAGCTCTCTTTCAGAAGTGATCTGGCCACAAATGATAGCTCACCGAAGTGGCTTATCGTCGTGTGGAAATATATAGCAGCCAAATAGTCGATACGCACGTTTCTAAATGTGGAGGGAAAACGAGAGAACCTTGGAGAAAAATCCACGCGGCCACGAGGACACCATGCAAACTCCAAATATACAGGCATCAGGGTCGGGATCGAACCCAAGACCTCCTGTAAACCAGGCGAGGTGGTTAACATCTCCTAGCCACCGTGTGGTGATTGAGTGAGTGAGTGAGCGTGAGTTGTGACCTGCAGTGTGGTGGTCGAACAGAGTACGGACGAGACGAAACATTCAATCCGCTACGCCGAGTCCTCAACACGGGTGGAGGCATCGACAAGTGGCGTTCATGGCAAGGGTTAACCACGGTAGTAGCAATAAACGAGTGATAATGAGGTGAGGTGGCTGACCACTGTTGGAGCGAGCGACTGCAGTGAATGAGTGAGTGCTGGATCATCAATCAACCCGACTTGCTTTACGTTGATGTACTGTGAAAGGCACATGGACATTCTTTGCACCGACCGCGATTGGGATGTAATTAGTATTTTTAATTGCCACGCTAAGCTGTTTTCCCTCCCACCCCCACCCTTAGCGGCACAAGTGCTGTGCGGTTTAAAGAGACGGCATTGTGAATCTACTTGTGTTAGGCGTTCAATGTTTGAGCCTAATTCTCTTTCCACCATAATCATGGGAATTATTTCATTAATTCTGGGTAGCAATGGGACACTTATGCGGATTTTGTGTGAGCAATAATGAATCAGTAATCACAGCTGACAGACACTAAGATTAATCAAATAGATTTTGCATTCCTAATTGACCTTGATTGGCTTTCTGTTGGAGATCGAGTTATGAAACGCCGCCCAAATATTTTTTTTTCTCTCACGAGGATTTAACTCTTTACAAGATCACGGCAAGTACAATTTCTTTTTCTGGAAACAAATTGGGATCATTCACCTTAACGCAGAGGCAAACAGGTGCGGGTTGGGATACTTTCCCCGAGAACGATTTGATCACGGAAATCAATATACACCCAC